AGAAAGAGAAAATAAGAAAACAATCCCAATGACAATTGTATCAACAAGAATAAAATACTTAGGAATAAATGTTACCAAGGAGGTGAAAGACTGCTGTACAGAAAACTGTAAGACATTGATGGAAGAAACTGAAGATGACACTAATAAATGAAAAAACATGCCATGTCGTGGATTGGAAGAATTAATATTGTTAAAATGTCCATACTACACAAAGTGACATACAGATTCAGTACAATCCCTATCAAAATACCAATGGCATTTTTCACAGAACTAGAACAAATAACCCTAAAATTTATATGGAATCACCAAAACACACCAGATAGCCAAAGCTGTCCTGAGACAGAACAAACCTGAAGGTATCATGCTCCCGGATATCAAACCACATTACAAAGCTACAGTAATCAAAACAGTATGGTAATGGCACAAAAACAGACACATAGATCAATGGAACAGAATAGAGAGCCCAGATATAAACTTACACTTATAAGGTCAACTGATCTTTGACAAAGTTGGCAGGAACATACAATGGAGAAAAGACAGTCTCTTTAATTAATGATGATGAGAAAACTGGGCAGCTACATGCAAAAGAATGAAACCAGACCACCTTCTTATACCATATACAAAAATAAGATAAAAAAGTACTAAAGACTTAAATGTACGATATGTATCCACAAAACTGGAAGAAAACAGGCAGTATGCTCTTTGATACTGGTTTTAGCATCAGTTTTTTTTTTTGGCTCTTTTTAAAGATGGACAGCATAAGCAAAAATAAACAGAACTACATTAAACTAAAAAGCTTTTGCACAGCAAAGGATACCATCAAAAGAACAAAAAGGCAACCTACTGAATGGGAGAAGTTATTTGCAAATGACATTTGATTAGGGGTTAATATCCAAAATATATAAAAAAACTCATCCAACTCAATATCAGAAAAATAAACAATTCTGATTAAAAATGGGTAGAGGACCTATAAAGACATTTTTCCAAAGAAGACAAAGAGGTGATTAATAGGCATGGAAAGATCATCAGCAACCATGGTGAAATGCATATCAAGACCACACTGAAATATCACTTTGTATCTGTCAGAATGGCTATTATCAAAAAGATAAGCAATAACATACTGGTGAGGATATGGAAAAAAGGGAACCCTGGTAGACTGTTGGTGGGAAGGGTAAATTGGTACAGCCACAATGAAAACAGTATGACGTTTACTCAAAAAATTAAAAATGGATCTACCATAGGATCCAGCCATTCCCCTTCTAGGTATTTATCTAAAGAAAACAAAAACACTAATTGGAGGGCGCCCGGGTGGCTCAGTTGGTTAAGCGACTGCCTTCGGCTCAGGTCATGATCCTGGAGTCCCTGGATCGAGTCCCGCATCGGGCTCCCTGCTCAGCGGGGGGTCTGCTTCTCCCTCTGACCCTCTTCCCTCTTGTGCTCTCATTCTCTCTCTCAAATAAGTAAATAAAATCTTTAAAAAAAACCCAAAACAACACTAATTGGAAAAGACATATGCACCCTTCATTATTTATATTAGCAAAGATACTGAAACAACCTAAATATGCATGATATATGAAAGGATTAAAGAAGTGGTGTGTGTGTGTGTGTGTGTGTGTATACAGATATACACACAGTGGAATATTAGCCATAAAAGCGTGAAATCCTGTCATGTGTGACAACTAGGACAGACCTAGAGGGTATTATCCTAAGTGAAATAAGTCAGAGAAAAACTAATACTGTATGATTTTGGTTATATGTGTAATCTAAACAGCAAAAAAAATGAACAAACAAAACAATACAGGAACAGACTCACAGATACAGAGAACTGATGGTTGCAGAGAGGGAAGGGGAGATAGACAAAAGAGGTGAAGGGGATTAAGAGGTACAATCTTCCAATTATAAAATAAGACAGGGGATGTAATGTACAGCATAGGGAATATAATAATATTCTAACAACTTTGTATAATGACAGATGGTAACTAGACTTACTGTAGTGATCACTTCATAATACATACAAACAAATCACTATACACCTGAAACTTATACAATATTGCCTGTTGATTATCTTCAATTAACAAAAGTCCAAACTGTCCTTGGAAAAAAAAAAAAACAAAACTGAACTGCCATGACCCAGCAATTCAATTTCTGGGAACATGTCCAAAAGAAACAAAAACATGTAACTCTAAAAGGTTTCTGCACCCCCATGTTCATAACAGCATTATTTACAACAGCCAAGACAGGGAGACAAACTAACTGTCCACTGATGGATGAATGAAGAAGTTGAGTAGATACACAATGGAATATTATTCAGCAATAGAGAACAAGGATATCCTGCCCCTTGTGACAACATGAGTGGATCCTGAGGGCATTATTACGCTAAGTGAAATAAGTCAAGAGAAAAGCAAACATTGTATGATCTCATATGTAGAATCTAAAACAAACAAACAAACAACTCATAGGAAAAGAGATCCGACTTATGGTTACCAGAGATGGGGGTGTAGGGAGGGGGACTGGAGAAAGATGGTGAAAAGGTACAACCTTCCAGTGACGAGATAAATGAGTACTAGGGTCGTAACATACGCATAGCATGAGCATAGCTAACACTGCTTCATGATACACACGAAAGTTAAGAGAGTTAATCCTAATAATTCTCATCACAAGGAAAACAACTTTTGCTTTTTAGCTTATCTCCCATGGTGAGATGATGGATGCTTCAGTCGACTTATTGTGGTAATCATTCACAATGTATGTAGGTCAAACCGTTATGTTCTCTATCTTAAACTTAGACAGTGATGTATGTCAACTATGTACCAATAAAACAGAAAAAAAGAGAAAGGACAAGAAAGCTACATTGCTGAAATGCCCAGTATGAAAGGTTTGGAGGGGGTATAGCAATATATTTAAATAAAATAATCCAGTATTCAGTTGACCCTTGAACAACATCAGATTGAACTGCACGGCTCCACATATATACAGATTTTTTTTTTTTTCAATAAAGCACAGTAGTGTAAATGTATTTTCTCTTCTTTATGATTTTTAACATTTTCTTTTCTCTAGCTTACTTATTGTAAGAATACAGTATATATGTATAACAAACAAAATATGTGGTAATCAACTGTTTATGTTATCAATAAGGCTCCTAGGCAACAGCAGGCTACAGGTGGTTAAGTTTTTGAGGAGTCAAAAATTGTACATGGATTTTTGTCTGTGCAGGAAGTCAGTGCCCCCAAGCTCCACATTGTTCAAAAGCCGACTGTAATTGTTTATGTGTTAATCATTTAAACAGAACAACTCTAATATGTCACAGATGTGTTATAAAAGTACTCTGTTCATGTAAATAAAACAAGTACAATTCTTTTAGAACATAAAATTTGAGCATACTCTGCTGAGGAATACTTGTTCATTTTCTGCCATTTACTGTATATAGTAATACCTTATTAATGATACTTGGGATAATACTTGTAATGGATTTTGCATTTTTATAAGACAACTCACTATATGCCATTCTTGTAGTTATTAACTCTTGGAAACTTCTTTGCCTAATACTGAGGATGAGATTTTAATTTCTTCCATTTGGCAGTTTATATCTACAAAAATACAGAAATTTTTTTAAAAAAATGACACAGTAAATATATAAAACAAAACTATGCAATTTATTTTGAAACACAAATAGTATAAATATTTGGTATTTTAAAATGTCTTTAATGTGATGTCTTTCCCATCAGACACATAAACTCTTTTTTCAGCCTCCCCAAACGTTTTACAAGATACTATAACTTACACATATGTTCATTTAGACTACTTACTAGAAGTTAATCTAACACTGATATTTATATAAAAAGTTACATTTATTGCATATTAAAACTTTATTATGCTTTCACAGGGTCTTGAAAGAGCATGGCCAAACCAAAAGACTAAAATTAAAATCTCTAATAGCACATATTCATTTTACATCAAACATCAATCAGAAAGTGTTTTATTTAGAGCACTTGTTTTAAGGCATAGGTAATAAACTAATGTAAAACCGACTCAAGGCAGATTACTTCCCAACTAGTAATATTTAGAGCTCAAGTGACTTGTTATTTAGTGATACTCAGGAAAATTTAATTATTTGAAGTAGGTAAGAACTTTGACCATAATCAACAAAGGAACGTCTTTAAAAATAAAGTTAGGTGAGGATAAGGGAAACCTTGGCATATGGCTTTATTCTTTAAGATCAAAAAGTTTACTCTCTTCCCCTAAAAATGAATTCCAATTTTCATTGAAATTCCTTCGATTTAAGCAAATGTAATTTATGATCAAACTTACCTGTCAAACAACCTCTATTCCAATATAAATTTCCTACTCTTGTTTATTCCTAGAAAATCTTCCAATTTGAAACAGGTATCTTTACTGTACATCCCATTTATTTAGACAACTTTCTTCTATTTGAGACATTAGTGTTTAAATTTCTACCCATGACAAACTTCTACTCTGAATAATAACTCCTAAGCTTTCCTCTATTTTCTGATTTCCATCTGGTCTTCTCTTACATGTTAAAGTAAAATCAGAACCTCTGCCTTGGCAGGCCTTTTTTCCCCTGTGGCATGACCTCTCCAAATGACCAATTTTTAGAAGAAAACAACATAGCCATAAAATTACCCAAAAAATCACTTACTTTTTCTATTGCAATATAAACCAAAATATGCAGATTTTTTTCTGTCTTGGACAACTTATACAACCTATATCTGAACTAAATTGTCTGTTGGTTAAATGCGGATAGATATTCATGATCAAATTCCTCTTTTTAATGACTGGGTTGTAAGGAAGTTGCCTAATAAATTAATTTTGGAAGGAGGAAGCAAGCTATGTTAACTGGTATAGAATGAAACTAGGACAGTTTGGTTTAAAGAATAAAAAACATTGAGATGAATTACGTGATTATGTAGAAGAAATTTACTGTGTAAGAAAATGTGGGGTTTTTTTTGTTTTGGGGGTTTTGTTTGTTTTTGCGTGGAGGGGAAGGCAGATGAGCACCCAAGCACCTAAACCATGTTTGAGTTACTGTATAGTATTTCCACTGTGCCTTATTCTGAATAGGTGTTAAATAAAATTAGCAGATCAAATGAATTAATGTCCTTTTAAAATGGCTGTGATCTGCTGCTCTCTTGTTATAGGTTCTACACAGTTTCTAAGAAAGCCACCTGATTATTTGCAAAAGACTGGGGCTATTATGTCCTCCATTGCAGTGACTGCTGGGAAAATTGGAAGTTCTGCTGGTCTGTGCAATATGCAAAGGTTTCTGAATACCCAGAAGACTCTGCCATAAATTTAAAACACTTACCTCGGTTATTTCATCTACAAATCCATAAAAATCATGTCTGGTCATTCTGAAGATTAAACAGCATGCCCTTAGCACAGCGCCAGTGAGACAGGCAATTAATGAAAGTTAATATCTTTATTCCAATTATATACTTATAGTCCATATGAATACGTGCTCTTCCACAAAGACAGATTAAGTATTATTTTTCAATTCTAAGAAAATAATTTTTTTTTTCCTAAAGTTCTATTGCCAAGGACATGTACAGAAAGAAAAAGAATTAAAAAAAAAAACAAAACTGTAGTATTATATGCTGGCATCTGGAATAACAATACATATTGGGATGGAAATTTAAACAAAAGTATGCATTAACTTGTTTTGTGATTTAGACACCACCTTACCAAGCCTCAGATACACATAGTTACAGATTTTCTCCTTTATTAGCTTTGACAGCTACCCATAAACTGTGTTCATTCTGTAACATGGTATAGAAGCAAACTGCTGAACATAGTACAATTTAAAGAGCAAATTCAATAAAATTAATTAAAAACTAGACTGCCCAAAAGTTAAATATTAATTTTATTAATAAAGTTGTTCTCTTATGAAAAGCTAACTCACAGTAAAGGTCAAAAGAATTCATTCACTTCTGTGTCTAGATTTACTATTTATTAACAAAAAGATTGTTTTTAACATTAGGAATTTAGAAAGTATATCATTATCCAATCACAAGCCTATCAGATAATTATATAAAAAAAGGAGTATGAAAGTTTATGTTGGACTAGATGAAGCGGAAGGCAATTTTTTTCTATTAGGTAAAATAATTATTTAACTGTATTGCTTCTTAAATGTATCCTTAATTTTATTTTATTTTATTATTTATTTATTTATTTTTTTAAAGATTTTATTTATTTGAGAGAGAGAATGAGAGAGAGCACATGAGAGGGGGGAGGGTCAGAGGGAGAAGCAGACTCCCTGCCGAGCAGGGAGCCCGATGCGGGACTCGATCCCGGGACTCCAGGATCGTGACCTGAGCCGAAGGCAGTCGCTTAACCAACTGAGCCACCCAGGCGCCCCTAAATGTATCCTTAATTTTAAAAATTAAACAATATATGAGCAGCTGATGTATTCTCTTGATTTATTGTGTATTAAAAGTTACTTTCTTGAGATGGCACATTAGTAGGTTTGGTATTTCCTGACACTATAAATATTTAAAAACAAATATTTTTTGAAAGTTTCATCATCTGGAAAGAAGGAGAAATAAGGCTTTCTACAGTTGAAAATAGTAATTTTTCAAAAAGGTTTAGAGGAAAAATATCTAAACAAACCATTTTTGATAAATGAGGCAGTGTCAAATTAAAAATATAAATTTAAACGAAGCAATTTTATAAAATATTGATACTAGCTAAAATTACATGCATAGGTACTTAATAATTGAACAGAGGAACAGCAGTGGAACTTAAATATGATAGGATTGATCAACAATAAATAAACATAGTGCAAATCGTGCAGAAAAATTTCTCAAAGCGAAGGCTACAGCAGTCATTCTAATCTGTACAAAATCAGTCTCAGTTCTGTATATGATCTATAACAGGATATCTATGAATTCAGCCACTGTGATGAAATGCCAATTTGCAAATCATACATAAAAATGTGCTTAGTCTTGTGTCCTTTCTGTCTTGGCAGTTTATGTTTTCAGGAAAATCTGAAAAGAAAACATAAAAAACCCTAAGATTTAACTTAAGGGGATAAATTGTCATCTCTTTACATTCTCTTCCAATTAAGATCTACCTATAAGAAGATAACTTGACTATGAGGGAAAAGAGGTAGGGAAAGAATTCTACCATGTTCGTATAAATAATTACTCAGTGCCTACTTTCTTCCTAAACCTTGATATTAAAAATCAGCCCTTACCCAAGGGGAACTGACAGTATGATTTGTAAAACAAGAAAACAATTCAATGTTATGTACAACTAGATTAAGGGAAGGGGCAGATGAGTCTGAGGTAGAGATGAGAAATTCCTGCCATCCTTCCCTATAAATGCTCCCTCTTCAGAGTCCCCTCCTTCAGCCCACTTGAATGAGCACAGAGCCACATGACACTGATCTCCAGGCCAAACTGTTGTTGGGCCAGTCTCTTTCCTGGGGATTGGCAGTGAAACCCTTGTTTAGTTTCCATGGGCGACGTGAACTGTCCTAATGTGGTCAGGCCTGTGGGGAGCAATGGTGGAGCATGTGCGAGGGGAGCGAAGAAAGGCGCTCTGAAGAGCTGCAAGTCAGGAAGCACAAGACAGTGAGAGGCAGGCAAGAAGAGAGACACAGAAAAGAGAAACAAGCAGCCTTAGCAAGGGTGTGAGAAGAAGTTATTATGGCTTCTTGTCGTGTTTTCACTCTCAGCGACTGAGCTGTCCTTTGTGCATTCTGACTCTATAAAGTATTTCTGCATTGTTCAATAATACAAGCTTTTATTTAAATTTGTTGGGGTGCAAACTAGTCTTCACAACCAAATCACTCCTAAACTACATAGATAGAGAGGAAAAGGGAGTGTCTTGAGATCAACAAGAGCGTGACCAAAGATACAGTGATAGGAGAAATAACATGAAATGGAGAACTTAAGGGGAAAATGGAAAACTGAAGTGGGTGTTCCCAAACATACTCCAGATTATAGAAGGCTTAAAGACAGAGAGAAATTTAACAGTGATCCTGCCCCTGCTAAGGTTTCATCATAAGTTCTGCGACAGAGAAAGTATACCACAGGGTGGTATTTGAGATCATTCTGTCAGTGCTGTGCAGGAAGGAGAAAAACTACATTCAGGTGACTGGCAAGACAATTACTGGAATAATCCTGGTCTGAGATGGAAAAGCAACAGATAGGAAGTTCATTTTAAGGGAAGAAATGACAAAGGAGACTAGTGAGAAATAATGTCAACTAAGTGAAATGGTAAACACCATATACCAGCTAAGAGACAAGAACGAATTACAGCTTACGATTCTACAGAAGTAGCTATCCAACACTGAAATAAACATTTCATTTAAGCCAACAGCATAGTGACAAACTATCCAAAAGATTTCCACTGGTTAAATGCTAATGTACATAAAATTATGCTTAATGTATACTACAAAGCATTTTCTATGTCATCTAACACAGAAGCTATGACAGAATTATGCTTAAAGCTGACTAAACAGGCACTGGTAAAAAGACTTCAATTAAAGAGTAGTCATGCAATAGCCTTCTGACTCAAACTTTCTGGAAGACAATTTACCTATAGTGGGGCATGAAATTGGCTGTGCATTGCTATTGCTTGTTGAAGTTTCTCTTCCTTGGCTCTTCTACAGTGGCAGATCTAGAAGATAAATGATTTAAAATACCAGTCACTTCTCCAATGATTTACCTACCCCTTCTTACCATTAGGACAGAATTCGAAGTTTAAGAATCCCTTAACCTGTTGACATCTTTAACTTTTGAATGTTTAAGGTAGCTCAGAATTTAAGAATCCCCACCCCCACAAACACTGAATTGTATTTGGAAGATAACCTCTGCCTGTGAACTTTCAGAATGTTAAATAAACCTTGACCCTTTATATCAATTCTCTGATTGTGGAATTTCAAGCATCTGTGTTTTAAAAATATAAAAACAAAGAACCCTACTGTTGTTAACCAGGAAGCTTAATAAATAAAAACTTTAAGGTATAGCTATATAGTACCACAAAAGAATGAACCAGAAATCAATGCTTTACTAATGCTATAACCATAATCTTTAACGTCCCTGAACTTCAATGTTCTCTTATGGAAAATGGGGACAATAAAATCTGCCCACTTTCCTTAACAGGATATGCACATACATAGTACACATTTTACAAAGTTTATTAACAAAAGGTTAATTTTCAAATGTGATGCTTCAGAGAAATCAGGTAAATATTTAGAACTCTATCGAAGGGCAAGATACGGTTAAGTAGACTTTCTTAATTTTTGGAAATCAGAACAGAACAGAAACTATCGCAGAATGTTCCCAATAATATTTACAAATTTTAAAATAACTATTTATAGATTATTCCCTTTTTAAATAACTTGTTGAACATAAGAAGTTGTACACTCCTATAACTATTAAGACCAGACTTAAGCTGATTTACTAGCTTTAGTACAAAATGATAGTAAAATATTGCTATCATTCTTAAAAAAGAGAAGCTCTTCAGTTTCTTCTCATGGCACTCAAAACTCCAGCTCAGTAACATGCTAAAGTATTTTTTACTCATGAATATACTTAAGTAATTTGGTATAACACTGTCACTTGTCCTCAACTGAAGAGTTTTACATACTGTTCTCTTTTCCATGAAGCTACTGAGAAAATCATCTATTTCAGTTTTTCCCTCTAAGAAATCTTCAGCAATATTATCAGATTCTTCCTCAGCTTCATGTGCAGCTACTTTCAATCTTGCCTGTAGGGCACTCGCACTACAGCTCTGAAAAAGAAAATCAAGTACTAATTTAGTTTACACTGCTCAGAAAAACTCCTTAGAGGCAAAGGAAATGAGATAGGGGTAGGGAGGAGCAATTCATTATATCCCTTACACAGCCTCCTTCTTTTTTTTTTTTTTAAAGATTTTATTTATTTCTTTGACAGAGAGAAAGACACAGCAAGAGAGGGAAAACAAGCAGGGGGAGTGGGAGAGGGAGAAGCAGGCTTCCCGTGTAGCAGGGAGCCCGATGCGGGGCTCGATCCCAGGACCCTGGGATCATGACCAAGCCAAAGGCAGACGCTTAAGGACTGAGCCACCCAGGCGCCCTCACAGCCTCCTTCTTGAGGAAAACTGCTACCACCCAGGTCCTCAGCTTTTGGATATAGGGGTAGATACCAAACACAAAATAACCGAATCCATTGGCTGCAAACCACTGAATGTGGAAACTGAGCCAATCAGTGTCTTCTCCTGGGGATTTAGGAATTAGGTCATTGTGGTAGGCACCCTCTAAGAGGACCTCTATTATTCCCCACCTCTTGAGTGTGGGCTGGACACAGTGACTCCCTTCTAATGAACAGAATATGGCAAAAGTGATGGGATTAAATTTGACCAAACAGGCAAAAGACCTGTACAAACACTGCTGAAAAAAAACTGAAGAAGACATAAATGGAAAGACATCTTGTGTACACGGATTGGAAGACTTAATATTGTTAAGAAGACCATACTACCCAGGGGAGCTTGGGTGCCTCAGCTGGTTAAGCGGCTGCCTTCGGCTCAGGTCGTGATCCTGGGGTCCTGGGATTGAGCCCCGCACTGGGCTCCCGGCTCAGCAGGGAGTCTGCTTCTCCCTTTCCTCTCTCTCTCTCTGCCCCACCTTCTCATGCTCTCTCTCTCTGTCAAATAAATAAAATCTTTAAAAAAAAAAAAAAGACAATACTACCCAAAGTGATCTACAGAGTCAATGCTATTCTTATCAAAATCTCCATGACAGTTTTTTGCAGAAAAAGAAAAACCCATTCTAAAATTCATATGGAATCTCAAGTGACCCCAAACAGCCACAACAATCTTAAAAAGGAAGAACAAAGTTGCATACTTCCTGATTTCAAAATTTACTACAATGTTACAGCAATCAAAACAACATTGTACTGGCATAAGAAGAGACATGTAGATGAATGAAAGACCAAGCCTAGAAATATACCCTCACAAACATGGTCAAATATTTTCAAAAAGTGTGTTAAGACCAAAAGACAGTCTTTGGCAAATGGTGCAGGGAAAACTGGATACTCACATGCAGGATGAAGTTGGACCTTTATCTTACCTCATATATAAAAATTCACTCAAAAAATAAAAAAATAACTAAAAATTAACTCAAAATGGACTGAAGACCTAAATATAAGAAATAAGAGGATTTTTTTTTTTTTTTAATTTACTTTTTTTAAGTACGCTCCATGCCCAGCGTGGGGCCCAGCGTGGGACTTGAACTAACGACCCTGAGAGCAAGACCTGCGCTGAAATTAAGAGTCAGGACCCTTAACCGACTGAGCCACCCAGGCTATTTTTAAAAATAGTCATGCTAGTGGGTGTGAGGTGGCAACTCACACACAGGAATGAACAGGAATGAACCATTTTCTCATCACCCTTGCCAACCCTGGTCATTTAACTTTTTAAGTTTGGCTCAGAAGAATGAGGCAGATTTTGATTTTAATTATTATTATTGAAAGGCTGACTATCTGTTCAAATGCTTCCATTATTTATTCATTGAATATTTACTGAGTATCTACTATGTGCCAAGGACTGGACCTGGTACTGGGTGTATGGGGGAATAAAACATGGCATGTTTCTGCACTGACGGCACCAAGAGTCCAGTGAAGTGATTTACATACTTTACACAGAAGACTGACTCATCATCCCCAAAGATTTTGAGTGAACACATGTAGAGACAAGCGTAGGAATCAAGGTTATATTTTTTAAGTGTTTCAAAAATCATTTCAAGCAATTCTTCTATAAATGGCACAGAAGACAGAGTAACTGTTACACCAGTGTGTCTACTGGACATTCATATTTCTCTTTTTGAGTTTCTTGTTCTTTCCTTTGCTTTCCTTTCACTGTCTTATTCCTAATATTAAGGGGATCCTGGAAATATCTGGCAATTGTGATGCTTGCTGTTGGTTTCTAATATCTCAAGTTAAGGAATTAATTTCTATTCTTAACTTACTAAGAATTTATAAAGAATGATGTGACTATTATTCAGCATCTACTAAACTCTAATGTGCAGCTAAGAGTGTTTCAGTTGCTTTTCTCAGACCTTCTTCTGGTTAAGAGGAAGGGAGGACTGCTTACATTTGATTCCTGACTCTGATACTTTCTGTTTATATGACTTCAGGAAAGTTATTCAATATCCCTGTGCCTCAGACTGCTTATCTATACTATAAAAAATAATAACATTGCCTACCTCCTAGAATTTTGTGGAAATAATGGGCAACATATGAAAATAGCATAGTGCAGTGTAAGATGCATAATCACTATTCAATGTTAGCTATTATTTTTTGTCTTTAACTCTAAAGGATGATTATCTGAAATCCATTATAAATTTATATTTTCCTTTGCCATCATTTTTTTTGTTGTTTTTTTTGTTTTGTTTTTTTACATTGGCTTTACCTTCCAGAATTGCTGACTTTAAAGGAAAGAGGATGTTGTTAAATTATGATGTTGGTTATTGACATGACATACAAAGATGATGTCTCCTATTCCTTTTCATTTTTAAAGATTTTACAGAAATATGGGTTGAATTTTGTAAAGTGGTTTTTATTTTTTATTTAGCTGGATTTCTAGCATAAAACCTATTACTTGTGGTGAATTAAACTTTATAATTTTCATATATTTTTCAATTTCCTAAGTTTTCACTTGAGATAGCTGTACATAAGCTTACAAGTGAGACTACAGTTCAAGTTTTTTGTTAGATTTATATTAGAGGAAGTAAACTGGCATTTAGAATAATGTTCCTAGTTATTTATGGGGCGTTTTGTATTTTTCTGCTTTGGAACCAAATATGCCCTTGCATGAGCACAAATAATGTATAATGCCCCATAATTGACAGCTATTCATCAAGCCTTATAAAGACAGACACCTAATAACTGCTTTCTGGTAATAATGAAAATAAGAATGTGGCTCACACATATTCAGATTAAAAAATCTTATGGTGCGGGGGCGCCTGGGTGGCTCAGTTGGTTAAGCGACTGCCTTCGGCTCAGGTTGTGATCCTGGAGTCCCGGGATCGAGTCCCGCATTGGGCTCCCCGCTCGGCAGGGAGTCTGCTTCTCCCTCTGGCCCTCCCCCCTCTCGTGTGCTCTCTCTCTCTCTCACTCTCTCAAATAAATGAATAAATAAAATCTTTAAAAAAAAAAAAATCTTATGGTGGGGGCGCCTGGGTGGCTCAGTCATTAAGCGTCTGCCTTTGGCTCAGGTCATGAACCCAGGGTCCTGAGGTCGAGCCCCACATCGGGCTCCCTGCTCAGTGGGAAGCCTGCTTCTTCCTCTCCCACTCCCCCTGCTTGTGTTCCTTCTCTCACTCTGTCTCTCTCTGTCAAATAAATAAAATCTTTAAAAAATAAAAAAACAAAAAATAAATAAATAAAAATTCTTATGGTAAAGAGCTAAACATCTTACCTCACTAAGTTCATGTTGCCTTTGCATCTTCTTTTCAAAAGTAGATTTCAGCTGTGTAAGCAATTCATACTAATAGATAAAATAAAAATGTTATTTTATTATATTTTTAAATTGTATGGATTTCTTCAAAATGATAACTAACTCACCTTATCTAAAACAGTTTGCCTTTTGGCTTCCAAGCTGGGCTCTAAAAGGAGATTTTTTCCTGTAAGATAAATTTCTGGTTTATTTCTAGATAAACATCATATTTTTCTTAGGAAATTTAAGAAGTAAGGAAAGACATACTTGCTAGCTCTTCAATACTTTTTACTAAGTCATCTTTGTCAGTAATAATCTGTTTTAGTTGGGGCAAAGTCAGAAACTGTTCTAGTAATATCTCCTCTTGTTCATTCATATCTGTAAGCTGTGACACACTAGAAACACAACAGAAAAGTTAATGAATATCAGTCACTAATTTTTCTCCATGATGATATTCAGGTTTTCCATTTTATTCAGTTGATATGGCTCTAAATAATTTTTGAACTATCATTTATATATCTATATCTATATATAACACACACACATACATAAGGAGGCAAATTATAACCTTAAAAGCAATAAAACATCAACCACAGTGGAACATAAAGTGGTCTGAAAGTAGCATCCAATCATGATAGGATTATGAAGACTAGGGTTCATGAACAATCACAACAATGTTAACCTCTGTGTCTATTTAGCTAATAGGTGTGTGGCTGTCACAATAAAAGGTATATATATGGATATGTGTGTGTACAGATAGTCATAAAATATTTAAGGAAAAGCAATCATGGAGGGCTAAACCAAAGCCAAAAATCAATATCCACAGGGTGAAAGAGGAAACTGGATGGGTGGGATAGAAATGGAAGCTAAACCTTACTGAACATATCTATTAGTTTTGACTACCGATCCATACAAAAGCATCATATGTTTAAAAAAATTTAATTAAAAAAAAAGCAGTCTCTAAAATTCAGAGTAAATGGAAATAAACAAGCACTGGTTTTTTTCTAAGTTACATATCCTCCAGAGAAGTAGTATTCAGACTTTAAAAAACAGTATTTGGCTGTACATGTCAGGTGTGACAGAACCAAAACACAAAAGAAATATAAAAAACAAAACAAAAACAAACGCTTATCTTGAATTCAATAATCATAGCAATAATATTGATATTGTAATTTTGAAAAAGAACAAGTGTCTTTCAGAGAAATGACTTCAGGCCAGGGAAAAGAAATTTCATGATGGCATCTTTGTTTTGTCAGAAAGGCTATAGAAGCCAATGTGAAGAGTTTGTTAGGGACTCAAGATAGAACTGTTTAAGCATCAAGAAGAATAATGACTGCAATATACTGAAACACATCAAATATATTTTTTAAAAAATTTATGAGTTCTTAACAACACAGAAACAACTATAAAAATAAACACAGAAAACCTTGCCTATCAAAAACTTTGGAGCTTGTTTGTGCATTAACTCATTATTCTGAAAACTGAAAAACAAAAAACAAAAAACAAGGATTTATCTTTCCATTCCTATATGAAGTGTATTTCAATAAAACTAAATAGTTGATACAAAAGTTCTTTTCACAGAATTCTGCTTAATTCCGGCAGTAATAATCACATTTGCAATCCTTAATGAAATAATGGATAGCCAATGATTTCAGGGGTTTCATCTGTTTCAATCTTAATGTCACTAAAAATAGGGCAACCAGACATCACTGTTGCCTTATGTGATGTAATAAGTATGCACTAATTACAATGTAAGTATTCTTGACCAAAGAATTGAACCTATTTTTTTTTCAGCATTGAGATATAATTGACATATAACACATAACATCGCGTAGGTTTACGGTGTGCAGCTCAATGATTCGATAAAACTGAACCTAACTCTAATTAAAACTCTAGATCTAGCCACCAAGAGAAAGAAATATAGGAAAGAGAAGAACATCTTCAATGGTACTACAAGGATGCAATCAGGCAAAAACAGGATATAGAAAATTCTCCAAGACAACCATTTTCCTCAGTAAATGTGTAATAATATAGTGTGCATAATATAACATGTATAATAGTATAATGTGACATTTTCATAATAATTTTTTTTTAAAAGAAGGAAGGAATAAAAAAAAGAATCCTTTATAACACTGAACAATAATAGTACCTACTTTCTGGGGTTGCTGCAAGCATAACATGTATGTGATATATTGTAAACCTTCATTGACTATTATTAGAAAATAATGAATCACTACTTCCTAAAAATGATTATAAAACACTGGGTCAGTTAAGGTAAATTTTTTTTTTTTTAACTGTAGGATTTCTCATAGGTATTTGGCTGTATATCCCTGGTGGGATATATCCCAGAGACAAGAATTACAAAAAAAATTTTTTAATTACACTCAGAAGTCTTAGTAAAAACAGCCTTATGAGTATTATAAACCTTCAGTGGGGTATAAAGGATGCAATGCTTCCCAAAGTTGAGTGGCCATAAAACAATTTTTTCATGAAGCAACTTAGAGAAGCAGTGTTCTACGAAAGACAGTACTTTAATACTACAGACTTATGTGTTATCAGTTTGAATACAATTTGGCTCTGTAAAAACACTGTGATTTTTCTTTATGAGAACATTAATGTGTTCCTCTATGTACAAAGTTCTACCTACAAAAGGATAAATGAAAAAGTCTAAAATAAGCCAAAAAATATTTTAAATCACCAGGGATGATGTATTGAGAAATAATTTTCACAATAATGTAAGCCTCAAGAGAGAACAACATTGTTATCCTGGTAACTATTATATCATTTCCAGCATCTAGAAAAATCCCTAGGTACATACTCACTCAATAAATACAAACTACAAGACAGAAAGCTGATTTGTATAACTAAAACAGCCACAGTATAGAAATAGTGAGGATTTAAAAAATCATTTTCTTTAATACAGGTATGAAAATGATGATCTGGTTTGTATTTATCATTGTCAAAGAGATAATGAATACTGACATTACTCTCCAAGTTTTTTACCTTAGTTCTGAGAGTTCTGGAAATGTATCAGGGATATCTGGCATCTTGTAACCAAAACCATCTTGGCTTATCTAAAGAGAAGTATGAAATGGTAATTAAGTTTTAGCCATCTTTTTGACTGCTCCTATTTACTTATAAATGTAATTTTTAATGTACTACATCCCATGTTTCATTATCACCTTCATCTTTGTACTTTACATTGTCCTTATTCTCCCCTTCTTTCTTTACTCTTATTTTTTTCAGTGTACTTTATACATAGAGGATTAAATTTTTTTTTTTTTTTTGGGGGGGTGAGGATCATGTGAGTACCTGTGCTAACCTCTTTCTTGGGCAAGTATATATTAAATAAAACGCTTAAGTGTATCTGTGACTAATGTAGAGAATCATCTGTGGATTTCATTGATACATATGAATACATTTGCCTCAAATAAAAGATACTAAATATAAAAAAAAATGTAGTAAGTTGCAAAAGTCTGAATAGTTACATAACTAAGTCTGACAAGACAGTAGGGTAGATAAGGAATAGGTAATCCATTGTTTTATAAACGACTTTTTAAAACAGAGGATCCTTGAAAACATCTCTTGTAACTTTGTTTATCCTACTAATTGTAATTAATATTGTTCATGATATTCACAGTATTTGTTCATAATATTTCTTACTAAAATGATGAATGGTATTAGAAAAACAAACTCCACTTGGGCCTAATCTAAATTATTACAAACACTAAAATTAGTAAAGTTGGATATAATAAGGTTTATAATATTTGAGTATTACTGTGGGTGATACTCACTTAAGGTTAAAATGGAGGTTTTAAAATCATTTTATGTTTTATTCATAAAGTAGTAGTCTCTCAGTAACATCCCACAGGGCAATAGTTACCAGTTTATTTAAGAACATACAATTTTTTTTTAAAATCAATGAGACACTTGAAGCTCTTGGCATGGTAGAGAGCAGATCCTCCACAATCTGATACCTACTTCTCTTACGTGATCACTTTTTGTGCCTCTGCCTATTTCCTATACGACAGTCAGAGAGATCTATTAAAGGCAGTTTCACAAAAAATGCGATTTGGTTTACGTTTCTGCAACTTTGTCAATAATATTGCCTCTTTATGGAAAGCTTTATATAACCCTTTTCATCCTGACAAATTCATTACCACCTATCAAAATCTGGCCTTAAACATAAACAAATAAATTAATTTATCTGCTCATTTTAAGTGAGCACCTACTGTATGTATCAGGTGTGCTCTGAGGCACTAAGGATAAAGTGGTGAAAAAGCAGAGACACATTTTTTATAAAAGCATCCCTTCTGGTCTACCTCAGTTCCTGGGAGCACTGACCGTTTCCTCAACTGTCTTCACCATGAACTCTAGACTCTCTCTTCTACTCCATTGGAAGTTATTCTTACTTGCAATTATTTGATAATTTGCTGGTCTCCTCTGAGTTTGTTACTTGAGTTGAAAATGTGATTTAATCTTTTTATCTTTTGTGACTTACTTAGTGGCTGGCACAAGAAGGCAGATAATAAATATTTGTCAATTGGATGAGTTTTCAAGGATATAGAAATACAGAAAACTGAAGATACCCACCGGTGCTGAAGTGTCTGTTGTAGGAACAGGTAACGGCAGATTTGAAAGGACACCGAAAGAAGGAGCAGCGGGTTTGGCTGGTGTGTAACTTGTTGTTGAAGAAGAAATAGTGTCAGCAACAGACAAAGAAGTGATAGTCCTGTTAGCTTCTTGTGGGGGATATGGAGGAAGAAATGGGAAACCCTGGGATGCATAAGGAGGCATCCCACCTGGATTACTGTAGAGGCTAAAGAAAAAGAAAAAAACATTAGATTAGACTTTAGGGGTAAACCTATAAAATTATTCCCAAATGGTTCTAAATAACAATGGTCATGACAAAGAGACAGAATCTTGTTATTATAATCATATAATTGAATTAAATATTCTACAAATTGATAATGACCCCACTCCCCCCAAACAGAAGTGTGGTTTCCATGAAAAAAGAAAATGTTTTAGAAAACATATAATTCAACTAGTCAGAGTAGAAGTGAATAGACAGGCTCTTTTTCAGTTTTGAGCATTCCATTAGCATCAATCACTGTCTTCATAAAGAGAACGGAGAACATTTAACCCAGAAAATGTATTCAAGACAGGTTGTTTAAATAGTAGCTCTCACTTTATCTGGAAAAATATAAGTCAAAGTCATGACTGCGTTTCTAAAAGATTTTAAAGGAAAATACTTAAAAGTATAGAAGAACTGCTAAAAATGTTAAAATATAAAAAAGTACATATAAAAAAACAAGTATATAGATTAGAAAAAGTTGTACAGCAGCATGTACTTGGGATTGAATTAGAGAGCAATATTTATTTTTTGCAGTGTAAAAATATCTGGGTCCTGGTTCAAGATGACAATCAAGCAAGACCTTGAAATCACCTCCTCCCATGAACACACTAAATCTGCAGGAATATGGAACAATTTCCTCAAAAAAAAAGCCCTAAAATTTAGTTGTACAACTCCTACAAATCAAGCCAATATGAAAAAATCTTGAAGCAAGTAGGAAAGCCTGAGACACAATCTCAGTGTAAACCGAAACCTCAACAGAGACCTATAATCAGGAGAAAATGCAAAACCTGAAGCTTCTTCCTGAAGAGCAAGAGTTTGAACCCCACACTGAGCAGTCCATCTTTTAAGCCCTGCATCTCAAAGAACAGCCCCCAAAACATCTAGCTTTGGAAACCAAAGGACCTACCCCAGGACCCAGCACAGAAGCAGTCGATTGAGAGGCACCCAGATTTTAGGTGTAAGGGTCTCATTTCCTAATCTTAAAGTGTCCTCTTGAGGGACAGGTACCTAATTTAACCCCCATCCAGGGACCCCCTGGGATTTGCTCTAGGGACAAAGGGTGGTAGGTGCTCTCTTCATGTTCTCCCTGTCACACTCCAGAGCACCGATATCTCTTGGAAGGAAGCTCTCTTGCACATATGGTGCTTAGTTTTTATGTCTGGTGCCCCAGTTTTGGTGGCTGCCATCCACAAGATACCCATTGACTGCATGGCTCTGGAGGCTGAGGGCTTGCATTCCTGGGTCCCATGCGACTGTAAAACAATAAGAGAGTCAGTTGTTGGCAGGCTACCACCCCCAGGGCGCTGCACAGACAGCAGCTCGAACACACCCCTAGTCTTCCTGTGAAAGAGTCTAATAAACAGGTCTGAAAGCTTTGGCTTGATGAGAAGGCTTCTGGTTTGGCATACAACCAGGGGCTTACAGAGGCACTCCCAGGAAACGTAGGTTGGTGGATGCCATCTCTGCACACTCCCTCAGTCTTACTCCAGCTCACAAGTATCTCCCAGAAAGAAGCTTATACAATCATCTGGGCCCCAATTTTGCAATTGTACCCAGGGACCAGACCTCCAGATCTCTGGTGGCCAGCACGGCTTACACTTGCAGCCCCACAGACTATATATATTTGCATACTTTAAAAGCTGCTACCTGAGGGTCTGGCTGAAGGTTTGGCTTCTATTCAGCCTGAATCCAGGTGCTGGCTGAGGTCTTCTCAGGTCCTGGTGCACCCTCAAATACTGGGAGCTATTAAAAATATAATAGGGTCCTGGGACAATACACGATTTTAGAGACAATCAAGAGGTAGGGCAGGACTGAATGATAAGGTTCATCTCCTGGTCCAGTCCTCAAGACTGGGAGAGGTGGCTGCTTCATCTTATGCATAGAAACCAACATAGTCAAGGAAAATGAAGAAGAAGACAAATACGTTCCAAACAAACAAAAACCTCAGGGGGGAAAATGTAATAAAATGGAAATAAGTAATTTACCTGATAAGAGTTCAAAGTATTATACACTTAATGAACTTGGGGGAAGAATGGATGAACAAACACAGTAAGAACTTCAACAAAGAGATAAAAAATTTAAGTACCAAACAGAAGTCACAGAGGTTAAAAAAAAAAAATACACTAGAAGATTTCAAAAGCAGACTAAATGAAGCAGAAGAAATGAGGAGTATACTCAAAAATAGGGCAGAGAAACTCACCCAATCAGAGCAGCAAAAAGAAAAAAAAAAAGATGCTCCCTGATTTGAAAGTATATTACAATGTTATAGTAGTCAAAACAGAATATTATTGGCATAAAACTATATACAAATAGATCGATGGAACTGAATACAGAACCCAGAAATAAACCTATGCATATATTGTAGCCAAGAATATACAATGGGGAAAGGATAGGCTCTTCAATAAACAGTACTGGGGAAAATGGATGGCCACATGCAAAAGAATGAAATTACCATTTCTTTACATCATACACAAAAATTAATTCAAAGTGGATTAAAGACTTAAATTTAAGACCAGAAACCATTAAACTCCCAGAAGAAAACACAAGGAGTAAGATTCTTGAAATTGGTCTTGGTGATGATTTTTTTGCATCTGATACCAATAGCAAAGGCAACAAAAGCAAATAAACAAGTGGGACTCTATCAAACTAAAAAACTTCTGCACAGCAAAGTAAACTATCCACAAAACAAAAAGGCACCTTACTAAATGGGAGAAGATATTTGCAAATAATATATCTGATAATCAGGAGTTAGTATCCAAACTATGTAAAGAAATCCTACAATAGCGAAACACAATCCAGTTAAAAAATGGGCAGGGAATATTAATAAATATTTTTTACAAGATAACATACAGATGGCCAAGAGATACATAAAAAGATGTGCAACATCACTAATCATCATGAAAACGCAGATCAAAACCACAATGAATTATCACCTGACACCTGTTAGAATAGCCATCACTAAGAAGACAAGAAATAAGTGTTGTGGAGGATGTGGAGAACAGGAAACCCTTGTGTACTCTTGGTGGGAATATAAATTGGTGCAGCCACTATGGAAAATAGTATGGAGGGTCCTCAAAAAAATCAAAATAGAATTACCATATGATCCAGCAATTCTACTTCTGGAGATTTATCCAAAAAACTGAAAACAGTAATTCAAAAAAATTAATGGTGACTCTGTCTGGGCTCCTATGTAGTCTCAGGATAGGGTAGTTACTAGAAAGACACACCGACGAAGGGCTGGAACTATTAGCTGCACCCACCAACCTCAGGGAATGAGGGGCTGCAAACTAAGTTCTATGAAAACTCTTGAACAATGAGGTCTGACAAACTTCCTTGTTGGTGAATGCATCCACATGGTGGGAGGATGGTGCACCCCGGCCCACGGGGACAGAAGCGCCTGCATTCGGGGCTCTTCTAGTCCTTGCCCTGTGCATTGCTTCACATGGCTCTTCATCTGTATCCTTCATAATGCCCATTTATAATAAACTGGTAAACATAAATAAATATTTCTCTAAGTTTTGTGAGCAGCTCCAACACATTAATGGAACCTGTGAGGGGAGGCATCATGGGAACCTCTGATTTTATAGTCAGTTGGTCAGAAGCACGTGAACAACCTGTGGATTTGACTGGTGTTTAAAGTGGAGCAGTCTTCTGAGACTGAGCCTTTAACTTGTGGGATCTGTCACTACCTTCAGATAGAGAGCATCAGAATTGAATTATATCTATAGGAAACCTGGACACTGTCTGCTGAGAACCGGAGAATTACTTGGTGGTGTGGAAAACACACATATCAGAGTACTGAAATATGTTCCAAAATATATAAAGCTTGAACAATTTTTAAACTGGAGTATTATTATTTTATTTAATTACATAAATTTACATAAGTTGAAATTATGTTGGAAAACAATTTTATGGATTTTGAAACTAAAGTTCATATGGAAAATTATACAAAGAAAAGTATCTGATGGAGAGTTAAGAAGAGAATAACTGTGCCATCTGGTAAAACAAATTATAAAACCTTTATAATTTAAAAAAAAAAAAGAAAAGCAACTTTTTTTTAGAGCAAATAGTGGTAAATGGATATGCAGATCAATGGAACTGAATATAAAATCCAGAAAAAGCCCGAAACACATAAGGGAATAAGGATATAAGACAGATGTGAAATAAATGGAAAAAAAGATCAGTCAATAAACAGTGTTGGGACAGCTGGAAAAAAATGAATTGGAGACAGATCATTATATTCATAACATGATAAAAACTAAATTCATCAAAGATTTAAATGCTTCGAACTAAATCTTACAAGAACTAGAAGAAATCATTGGGAAATAATTACCGTGGGGTGGGAAAGGACTTTCTGTGATCCCAAATTCCAAAGTCATAAGAGAAAATGATTAATTGCTTGACATTAAGAAAGAACAAAAACAAAAACCTATATGACAAAGCCCATTATAAATAAGACAAATAAACTGGGGGAAAACATTTAAAACTCATATCACAGACACAGGGGTAATTTGTCTAATACATAAAAAGTTCCTACAAATTGATAAAAAGACTAACAACTCAATAGCAAAATGAAAAACAGGATAGAAGACTCAGGTTACAGAAAAATAAAGAAAAACATCTCCAAATCATAGGAAAAGATACTCAACTTCATTGTCAGTAAGATAAATACAACTAAAATTATACTAACATATCATGTTCTACTTATAAATTGGCAAAGATCCATTCCAATAATATACTGTATCGGCAAAGAATATGGGAAAGTAAGCATTGTGCATAGTGGTAGAAATTGGTGCAACTTACTCTGTAGGGCAATTTTGCAGTATTTGTCAAAACTACAAATGTGCATGCCACTATGAGAATGTATCTATGAAATATATTCACATTTGGCTAGAATATTATTTTTAAGGTTATTTGCTGCAGTGCTGAGGGTAAAGAAAGGTGGGCCTTTTAGGAAAGAGTGGAAACAACAAAAATATCCATCAGCACGAGTCCTGTTAAATAAATTACACTACATCTATAAAACAAGTACTTTGTGGTCATAAAGAAGAATAAGGAAATGCTTTATGTACCAAAATGGAAAACTATTCAAACTATACCATTTAGTGAAAAAAAAAGGGGGGGGAGGGGAATGGTATGTTACAGTTTGTGTAAAAAAGGAGGAATAAAATACTCCATGTACATATTTCTTTGTAAGTCATAAAACATCTTGGAAATTCTATGCATATTCACCCAAATGAAAAACTCTGGATACAAGCAAGAAGAAAAACTAGGTTGTAAGGGAGAAGACAGTGGAAGGAAGACTTTTTACTCCATATCCCTTTATATTTTTTGAATTTTGATTCAAGTAAATATATGATCACTGAAAAAATTAAGTTTTCCAGTTTAGCTTATTTATTTAAAAAAATGGCTCATCTTTATGTTAAAAAATTAAAACTTTTATCTAAAGGTATGTCAGTGACATAAATATAAATATAACAAGTTATTTGGAAACAATATGACCAACATGAGAGAGTATTTGTATTATAAGTCTTTATTGTGAACCAATTTTTATTTAGACCTCAGTAGCAGATACAACCTATTAAATAATCTAAGGAATGCATCAAACCTGCATTTTAATAACCTGCACTTTATCACAGAACTTATTTGAAATGAGAATAAGTAAACTTACTGGCTTTTATTTTCAAATAAGGTGAATGAACTTATATCCAACCCTGCCCTGACAGAAAAACAGGATATACAGTTTTTAGATGAAGGATATTAGGAGGCTTATAACTCCAGTACAAAGACACAAGAGAGGAAAGATGAAGGCTGGGGCTGATGCACCTAATGACCTGGATAATCTAGCTAAGCAGATTTTCAGGCAGTGTTCAAAATGCTGCCTGACTCCTGAGCAAGAGCAACTTCTTGGAAATTAAGTAGGAGGACTAGGATATAAAGCCAAGAAGTATTCTGAGAAAAGGAAATAAAAAGACCAACAAGAAGCTGCATCATCATTAAATTTCAGAATACCAAAAATTTTTTCTAAAATTTACAAAGGATCAGAAATCAAAATGGCATTGGACACTTTGCAATAGAAGCCATATAGACAATATAGCAACACCTTCAAAATTCTGAGTAGAAAAGCACTTCGACTTAGATGCTAATGCAAAAAGTGGAACAAAAACAAGTTATCTCCAGTAGTCCCTAAACAAACTGCAGATTCACAAGGAAAATACATGTCGTCAAGGTCAGATGACATGAAAAAATCTGAAAGATATTTTTCAGAGCTGCTAAAAGATGTGGAAAATTAAAAAGATAAAACCACCAATGGAAAAATGGAAGTAATTATTAACTCCAGAAAAAGCAAAAAATTATACCGTAAAGGAAATGTAATCATGACAAAGTCCTTGATTCAGCAATGGGGAATATTTACAGAATCGAAGTGATGAAAATACCAAAAATGAATTTAAGTAAAGATCATGATATCAATCACTGAGAGAATGAGGGGAAAGGAACATTAATGAAAGATAATGGTAACTAAACTCCTCATCAATCATAACAGGAGGTTGGAATATAATACCTAAAATTAAAGAACCAAGACTATGTATATATTATGTTTAAATTATTCAGAAAGATGAAGGTAAATATTGGAAAAGCAACTGAAAAAGAAAACACAGCTGCCTCTGAAAAGTATGAGTGTATCTGTATGAAGGTAGGAATGTGGAATGAAGAGAACTGCCTTTTAACATCATTCGAAAATTTAAACTCTATTATGATTACTTTGATAAAAAGAAGTAAAAATAAATTTATACAAACATTTTTTGGGGTATAAATATACTTACTATGGAAATGCTGTTGAAGAAGGAGCTAAAACTGGAGGATTCTTCCAAAACTCATCCAACAGACTCTGAATAATTTTTCCAAGATCTGAGTGCATTGTAAACTAAAAGTAAGAGTAATACAGGATGATCAAAATCACTTTCAGAATAAGTCTTACTAGGATCATGTCACTGTAAAACTTAATCTTAAATCTACTTCTGCACATCAAGAACTAAATGAAAAACAAAGGATACTGTGCCAAATGACAAGATTAGCAATCTACAACTTAAAATATTTTTCTATAGACTCAATACCATAAATCAGTTAAAAATCTATTTAACCAATAATGGAGCTAAAACATTTCCACATTTAAAAAAATAATTTGAGGGGTGCCCGGGTGGCTCAGTCGTTAGGCGTCTGCCTTTGGCTCAGGTCAAGATCCCAGGGTCCTGGGATCGAACCCCACATCAGGCTCCCTGCTCGGCGGGGGACCTGCTTCTCCCTCTCCCACTCCCCCTGCATGTGTTCCTGCTCTCACTCTCTCTCTGTCAAATAAATAAATAAATCTAAAAATAATAATAATAATTTGAAGGTTCTAAGGTAAATACTGAGAATACGTTTAAGTTATAGTGCTTCAACCTTCATAGTAATCAATCATTTATGTATCCTAAGAACTTTAAGGCATATTTGAATTTTATCCCCTCCTAACAACTATGGAAAATATACTGTGAACCAAAGTTCTAACATCAACAGGTCCTCATCACAGAAAAACAAATAACCTTCAAATCAGTATTATCTATTGGATATAGTGACCTTTTTTTTGGGAAAATTACTTATTCCAAATGAGATTTCAAATGCATTTTAGATTTCTAAAATATGTAGTAATAAAGTAATACACCTGTTATACTACTTTGAAATAAATTATACTATATACATACATTGTTTACTAATGGAGAGGTAACATATACCCCTTGTTTATCCATTAAGTGATGTCGTATTGGTGGATAAACACTGATCACTGGTTTTTCCTGAGGAAACTGTGGAGGGAGCAATCTGTTAAATGTAGAACAGATGGAAAAAACACAAGTGTTATATAGTCATAATTCTAAAACAAAGTTAAAAGCAAATTAAATTTTCATGCTTTCATTCAGAGTAATTATTCACAGTAGTAAGTGCTCTGTTATGGTTGTTGATCGAAAATACACAAAAGGATATACTTTAGCAACAACATTATAAAGCAATTCAATTCAGTAAAACTTTACTATAGAATATGGATACCCTGAGTTATAAGATATTCTTCACACCATCTCAGTTAATTGCTTTCAAACTCAATATACTAAGCTATGTAAAATCTCAGATAAAATCAGATCAGGTATTTGTAACAGGTGACCCATAGTAACCAGTCTGACTATTGGACCACAGGTTCTGGCCATATAATTTTCTTGTGGTTTTCCTACTTATGAAATGCTGCCAAGAATTATTACACCATCTACTGAATTTTTGAAGAGTGTGTAGATAAAAGCAAAAGCACTATGATTAAAACATTGTAGCTGTCATTATGCCTTGGTTCTATAGGGCTCTAATGGTCCCCATTAACACAACTCTCCCAAGTCTGTCAATCACATGGTTTCAAGTAAAGAACAGTAAATTCTCAATACAAGAAGAAAAAAAAGAGGTGAAAATCTTAACCTTTATGAACTACCACAAATTTAAAACTCAGGATTGAAGTCTTAAATGGATCTTACTGGATATGGAACTCTGATTCCTAAATCTCTCTAAACTCAGAAGAATATGACCCTTTAAAACTGTCTCTCTGTTCCTGTTGGCTCTGAAAACGATTTGTTTGGCAGCACGGTCACGAAGAGAACTGGGTCTTTTTGGCTTCTCCTACTTAGCCCTACCTAGGGCATTTGATGGAGATAAAACTACTTCATTTATATAGCTAAAGATGTTAGCCTAGTTTGGTAAAAAAAAAAAACAACGATTGGCCTTTGGAGCCCAACCAATCTGGGTTTGTATCCTGACTATGCTATTCACTACGTGTGTGTCTGTAATTTACCCAGTTTGTAGCCCTGCTGTGAGGATTCACAAAGCTCCTATATCAAGATAACACAGCATAATGCCCGGCACTATTATACATTCACACTTTCATTCACTTGTTCAACTAGGATTTAATAAGGCCTTCTCTGTGCAGGCATTATGCTAGACAATGAGAATATGAAGATGAATAAGCCATGGTTCCTGTCTTCAAGTTAGGTGTTTCTTATCACACCCGAACACCTACTCTAGCACACAGCTACCTAATGCAATTTGAGGTAATAACTTAATACTTTCATGCTAAAGACTAATAATAATTACACTTAGAATTAAATGGGTACTTCCGCAATCACTTTGTCCAATCTTTCCTCTTAAATAACCTCCTGATTATAGTTTTTAACTTAATTTTTTTCTTTAATTAGTAGATCAAATTCAGCCCTGAACTTTCTGGTTGATACAGTATATCTGTTGCTGAAGACTAGAATATTTTCACTTGTTTCTAATGCAGGGGTAAATATATCTCTAATAGTTTTCCATACATGATCCCTTTGACTGTCATCATTTTCAGCCTTTCTTTTAGCCTACCTCCAACTAAGACTTCATGCAAATCAATAAAAACAATGACGGTACTAAATATTATCATTACATCTTTATATTGCATTTCTTCTTGTATAACAGCTTCTTTCTTACAGCAATACACTTTACCATGTCTTTAAAAAATTTTTGTTTCACGAAATTATGTGACTTTGATAATTTATAGTTACTAGAAAAGTAATATTTTAAATATGTTCACTTTAAACAATTTACTTCTAATAACTAAGAAACAAAATAATGAAAAGATTTTTAAAAGTACTAGTACATAAAAATATAGGATACAATCCTACTCACATGTTAATATTAATTGTCAGGTTGTTTACGGTGAACGGCAACCTGTATTCCACATCTTTCTGTATTTCAGCTATACTGTAGGAGAAAATTTGAGAGAAAAAGTCACTTGAAGTTATAAAACCATTAATGTTAAAAAGAATGTTAAATGTTTTTAGAGCCTACTAAAACTATTAATTTTAATCACCCAATCTAGATAGCCAATATAACTTGTATCTTGAGGGAAAAATTATCATAGAGAGATTTATCAAATCAGGCAATAATATTCTGATATCCAAGTGCGTGTGTGTTGGGGGAAGGTGGTAGAGTGGGGATAGATGTTGAGGTAAAATGGCAAAGAAAAACTCTCGTATTAATGCTAGGTTGATTTACTATCACTTTACCTAATTCAACATTAGTAGAAGCAATTGTTATCCCTCTGGTTAATACAAGTCAGCAAGACATCTAGGTTCTGATTAGAACACTGCCACTACCCAGCTATATAGACAGCTAGGCAGGTCTGGGTCTTAATAAGTTAAACTTAAAAGCCTGGATGAGATGTCTCCTACAGTTTTATGACAGAGACTGCTGGCTGCTTTCCAGAGACAAATAACCTCCCCTTCTTCCTCAGTAAGAAAAGTCTGATTCTACTCTGAGTAGCAATGACCTAGCCTTTTTTGCACCTAGCTGTTGCTATAGACTTACGTTCTAGCCAATAAGATAGATATAGGGAGGCTGTGGGATAGAATTACTAGGAAAGCAACTAGAAGGGGGCACAAAAAACTAGTATGAGTCCTCCTCTCCTGCCTCTACCTGATAGCTGCACTTCTAGCAGCCATCCTGGACCATGAGTGATCCTGAGAATGAAAGTCATACACTAGAGAGAGCTAAGCAGAAAGAAAGCAGCAGCCTGGGTCTTTAATGACTATGGAATTGTCAAACTGAATTTCCTTTCTGTCAGAGAAAAAAAGTTCTGCTTAACTCACTATTTTGGGAGTCTTGGCTAGTAGCAGCTGAATATAATTGCCAACTAACAGAATTTCCTTGTATTTTAACATTCTACATTTAGAATTTACTTTATTGTCAATTGCAGGGATACATTAGTACAATTATAATCTAGCAACCAAATCTTTTGGGGGCTCACTTCAAATTCTAATGAACATTCACAGTATTTCCAAAGGGAAAAATGTTAAGTAGTATTCCTGATTTAAGGTTGAGAAGAACTTTAATATTCAAAAAGACATGAAACTTTTTCAAGCATGAATACTGTTGGAAGATCTAGTGTTTACATAATAATTAACTTTTCGTTCTTTTGGTTGCTTCAACTACTGCTCTGTACTGACATCCCATGGAATGGGGTTAGTATGGAGATGAAGAAACAGCTGAGAACAGACTCAAAAAGATACTCAATATTAGGACTTCCATAGTTTTATAGAAGTTTTCTCTGGGGTTCAGTTTTGGACTAGAATACTGACAACCTCCTCAGTTGTAGGAACACCATATAATCAATTAAATGGCTTAAGGTTTCTATTCCTTTATATTATTTTAGGACTCTAAGGTGTAACTGTTTCAAGGGAATACTGGTCACACATGCATCCATCAGTTCTAAGCTAAATAGAACATCTTCATGATTAAAAGAATTTTATGACCTCCTAAGTCAGGCTTCCTGGGTTCAAATTCTCCCTCTAAGCCATTTATTTATGTGATCATATATGCAAATTACTTAACCTAAGCCTTATCTCTCAAATGGAAAACAGGGATGTTAACAATAGCTATCTACCTAAAACAATTGTTAAGATTAAATGAGAGAATACTCGTAAAGCCCTCCGCAAAATGCCATAATAATTGTTCAATACATGTTAGCTATTATCAAAAATGCATTTTGAACATGCATCTAAGTTGAAGCCTGTCTAAATTTGTAGTACCAAAGTTTTAACTCAGTTTTTTAGTGTATTTTTATAGAAAACAAAGTGAATTCGACTAAAATAATTTTTACTTAAATCATTGTCTAGAAGTGGTTTCATTGTCTCTACAATTAGAGTGTTGACATTTATTAGGTTTTGACAAGTTTCCTTCACAAATGAAGTATGATAAATAACTGAAAGCAATACTTGCAGTATTAGTGAGAGGTGAACTCTCGTTAACAAATTCCAGTACAAGTTAGTCATGGCAATTGTTGGAGTCAGGCCATGCTACTGAAATATGAAGTGCAATATATGGCACTTCAGCATCTTGAATACTTTCAGCTGAAGGAGTCTGAGAAAAGAGGAGAAGCAGGAAGGTTACTCTAACCTCCTCTCCGCCTCATACTTCTTCCCTGAAACAAATCATAAAATCCTCATGTGAAATATGCCCTCCTCATACCAAGTAGCATCTTTACCTCAAAGACAAAGGGACACCAAGAAGAATAGTAAGAACCCTTGATCATTACAATTACCTTATATTCCTTAACCCATCATATTCTTCCATGACTGTACACTTTTCATCAAACCTAGCACAAAAAAACTCAGGTCTAACTATTTCTTTGGATCTTTGCTTCCTTAAGTCATCCATCTCATGTAAAACTTACATTAAATAAGCTTGTATGATTTTCTCCTGTTAATCTATCAGTTTACTTAATTAAAACAAAAACTAATCCCTGAATATTCACAATGTGATTTTGAATTTTTTGCTATTTTAAAACTTTTATTTATTTTTTATTTTTATTTTTCGAAGATTTTATTTATTTATTTGACAGAGAGAGCAGGAGAGCAGAGGCAGGGGGAGTGGCAGAGAGAGAGGGAGAGGGAGAAGCAGGCTGGCTCCCCCCGCTGAGCAGGGAGCCTGATGTGGGGCTCCATCCCAGTACCCTGGGATCATGACCTGAGCCGAAGGCAGTCGCTTAACCACCTGAGCCACCCAGGCGCCCCTATTTTAAATAACTTTTAAAAAACTTATTCTAGGGGCGCCTGGGTAGCTCTGTTGGTTAAACACCCAACCCTTGATTTTTGCTCAGGTCATGATCTCAGGGTTGTGACATCCAGCCCCACATGGGGCCCCGCACTCATTGTAGAGCCTATTGGAGATTCTCTCCCTCTCCTTCTGCCCCTCAACCCCGCTCATGCATGCTCTCTCTAAATAAATAAATACATATATATATATACATATATATATAATACTTTAAAAAAACACAACAACTTATCTAAAAATGATTTATTCTCATCGAGGGGAAAAAAAAACAAGCAATGAAGAAAAAGTCAAGTGACTAAAAAAGATCAATTCAAGATACTGATAGCATGCATTTCCCAGTGTTGGGTAAATCAAGGAATGTTTATAGGTGAACCTTGCAAATAAAGGATTCAGATGCTTCAATAAAGATGGTAGATCGAGTTTAGACAACTTCCCTTCCCCACCTAAATCTCTAGGAAATATCGCAAAAGACTAAACAACCAAATCTGTAACAGTGCTGGAAAGCAAAGAGTAAGCAGACAAACTCTAAGGAACCTCTAAAAGATAAAAAAAAGATGGGAATAGACTTAAGGAAAAGGGTGATAAGGAAAAAAGGAAAGAAAAAGAAAGTAAACACAGGAACTAATGACAACCCAAAACATTAGATTAATGCCAAGTAGGAGCAGTTTGAAGGTCCTCGAAGCCCTTGAAGGAAGTCAATCCACACCAACAGTGTGGAAGGCTGGGCAGAAGCATTTCTCAGGGTAATGAATGGGAAGACGTGTGCAACAGCAGGTAGGATAGAGCACTCTCCTCTTTTCCCTGCTTGTTCCAAACCAACAGATGGCACTAGTATCTGTACCAGAAGAACACACTGGGTAGCCTTGAAAGGAGCAGAGACTTAGGAAGCTACTGACTTCCATGGAGCCTCTGTTTCCAGGAGACAACTATCAGCTTGTCCCATATTGGAACAAATCATTCTTTTTCATTTGTCACCAGAGGCAGACTATGATAAAGACTATGATAAAGCTAAATATCCACCAATAAATAGAGCTACATATCCACCAACAAGTTAACAAGGAATTTCAAACACAGACATGAACACATCAAAGAAGTGTGAACAAAGCAAAACCAAGCAAGGCAGCCACTAAACTCAAGCAGCCCAACACACAAAAACTTAAGCTAACAGAGTTAATTGAGAAGACTCTAAATTTGTGTAATTAATATCCTCAGAGAAACAAAATAGCACTTGCATTCACACACACACAGTTGATATGAAAATGAAAAATTAAGACACTGGAAATTTAAAATAAATAGCTCAAATAAATGGTTTGGTGCTCTGTTTGGAAAATGTTTCATACTATATATTCTTTTCTTGGAGAATACTGATGCATTTTAGCATATTAAAGGCTTTGGGAAATTCTAAAGCACTTAATTTTTGTTTTTGTTTTTTTATCTGTTTGACATGGACCATGTATTTCACAGTATTCTTTGAACACTGTTGTGGGGAACACAGGATAATGAAACAGATGTGCAAAGGGCCATAGGAACAGAGAAGAAAGCACCTAACCTCAACAAGAGTGGTGGTGGGGTCTTCCAGGAAATAAAATAATATCTGAACTACATTTAAAAGTCAAGTAAGAGTCAACATGCAGGAAACAGAAATCAGCAAAATAAAGCAGACATTCTACACAGAAGAAACACCATGGGAAAAATTTCAGATATGAAATAACACTGGGTCTCTTAAAGTCTCCATATCCTTTGCCATTAAAAACTTGGGATGGGAGGGATGGGGTGGCTGGGTGATAGACATTGGGGAGGGTATGTGCTATGGTGAGCACTGTGAATTGTGTAAGACTGATAAATCACAGACCTGTACCTCTGAAACAAATCATACATTACATGTTAAAAAAAAAAGATAGTAGGAAGGGAAAAATGAAGGGGGATATCAGAGGGGGAGACGAACCATGAGAAACTATGGACTCTGAGAAACAAACTGAGGGTTCTAGAGGGGAGGGGGTGGGGGATGGGTTAGCCTGGTGATGGGTATTAAAGAGGGCACGTTCTGCATGGAGCACTGGGTGTTATACGCAAACAATGAATCATGGAACACTCCATCAAAAACTAATGATGTAACGTATGGTGATTAACATAACATAATAATAACAAAA